AGGGGAAGGAGGGAGGGAGGGAGAGAGGGCCGAGTGACGACATGGCGTACAGGAACAGGGAATTAAAATCAAGAAAGGTGGCTGTGCATCAGGGAGAAACACAATCAACTGTCACACAGAATGCCCCCCCCCCAAAGATTAAACTCAAAACCCTGGGTTTAGCAGGCCATTGATTTCACGGAGGGAGGGGAAGCAAATGAATACAGAACAAATCTATTTTTTACATCTTAAGCTGGCAGCCGACGGTGCAGCATGACTAATAGCCACTGCAGTACGACGACGACGGATACCAGTCGTAATATACCATCTTCTGCCAAAAAGCGAGGGGCTGGTGCTGTATAGCAATGCAGCCCCACGTCTGCCAGCCCTACGTCTGCCAGCACCCAGATTGCCCTCGGCCTCTTCTGGGTGCTTAGCAGACAATACTGGGCGATTGGCATAAAATAGCATACTATGACTGATAGCCATCATCATCGAGACAGTTGCATGTCTGCCCAGGTGCCCATGATTGACAGCCACTGCAGTATGATGACGACGGATACCAATCGTAATATACCATCTTCTACCAAAAGGCAAGGGGCTGGTGCAATGCAGCTCTACGGCTGCCAGCTCCACGGCTACCAGTCATGCTGCACTGTCTACCGCCAAAAGGCAGTTAGCTGCTGCTGCTGTGTAGCAATGCAGTACTACGTCTGCCGGCACCCAGATGACATATGGTGACGGTGAGCTGATCTGAGCGGGCTCCATGCTTGCCATGGTATGTTGTCTGCACAGATAACCCAGGTAAAAAGGCGCGAATCTATTGTCTGCCGGTGCTCTGACGGAGGGGGAGGGGCCTGACGTACCCAGAACCCCCCGCGACACTGTTTTGCATCATTCAGGCATTGGGACCTCAACCCAGAATTCCAATGGGCAGCGGAGACTGCGGGAACTGTGGGATAGCTACCCATAGTGCAATGCTCCGGAAGTCGACGCTAGCCTCGGTACTGTGGACGCGGTCCGCCGACTAGAGCACTTAGAGCATTTTAGTGGGGACACACACGATCGGCTGTATACAACAGATTTCTATAAAACCGGCTTCTATAAATTCGACCTAATTTCGTAGTGTAGACATACCCTTAGGGAAAGACAGAGACCCACTGCAGAATATCCTACAGCCTGGTCATTAGGGCACTCACTTGGGAGGTGGGAAACCTGAGTTCAAGTCCCTGCTCTGAATCAGGCAGAGTGGGGATTTGAACTTGGGTCTTCGAACTTGGGTCTTCAGAGGAAGTGCTCGAACTATTGAGCTATAGGGTATTTTCGGCTGGGGCTCTCAGTGTCAAATGTCAAAGTTATTCCACTTTGTATAATCTACTTAAATATTCATTACTGCAGGGCACCATGACCATCTCCACTGTGTTTTGGTCAGAACCTGATGTGGTAGGCATGCTTTTAGGTGGCTTATGAAAATGCCTACAGGATCAGTCTCCGCAGGTGAGGTAGACAGGGTAACAGCTAGCATAAGGATCTCCCAGGGTTTAGGTGCTGAGCATTTCATCATCAGCAGAAATGGAGGCACCTAGAGGACTTTACTGGTGGAAACTTGGGTACCTATGTACTTTAGGCATTTACAGGTAATGGGACAGCTGAACAGGGATTTTGAGGATCTAGATTTTGGTCTTAGGTGCCTAAACTCCTTTGTTGTTCAAGCCCTATGAGCCCAATCCTGCCTCCATTAAAATCAATGAGAGTTTGACACTGAAAATAATGGTAGCAGGATTGGGCCCTCTATATGAGAGCATTAAGTCAGTGATAGATTATTTTATCATTCTGACAAGCTATCAGAATGTTTTTGTGTGGAGAATGGAAATTCTGTTCAGTGGAGGATTAAGAAATTTGTTCTAAATCCAGTTAGAATGACATCTGACAATTTCAAAATTCTCTGCAAAAGAAAATTGAAGTTTCAGACCAAAATGTTTTATTTTGACAAAACTAAAACTTGTTTAGATTTAGATTTTTTAATATTATATTATATAAGATACTCCAAAAAGAAGTTGTTTAGAAAAGAAAAAAATAAAAATGTTTCATTCTGATTGTATTGAAACAGGATGTTTCGACATTGTAAGAATCACCCCCTGCCAACTCCCCCAAGTTTTGGCAAAATCAATATGATTTACAAAGTGTTTTGATTTCGACGGAACTGCATTCTCCGATGGAAAATGTTTGTCAAAGTTTTTCCAACCAGCTCTAGTCTTTATAGATGGTAGTGAAAGCCTAAAAAATATATTATTACTACTTAAAACTATATATAGCTGCCCTGCCAAACAAGTTAAGGAATGTTGTGAACTTGGTGTAAATGTAGTCCATGGTCCTGATTCTGCAAATGCTTATGGGAATAGTTCCATTAATATCAGTGGGACTAATATAAAATTACTCATGAGCATAAGCCTTTGCTGGATTAAACCCTATGAGGTTACACCGTTAATTTGATTTTTTCATAGAAATATTAATGCACTTATTGATATACAAGAAAATAAAATGTTGATATTTAATATAAATTGGGATCAAGTGATAAGTCCATGTACGTTTCCCTGGATTAACTAAATCTGTTTTCTGTGCTCTTGCAAATGTCTTCAAGACAACAAATGCATACAAATACTTTAGAAGTACTAATAACATTTATCGATTTTAATGTAGAATTATAATTAACAAAAGAGAATGTCTTATTAATAAAGGAGAATCTTAATGAGTGAATTGATTGTAAAATGCAGATGACATTATTTACATTGTTTTTTGCCATAAGGAAACCTCCTAAGCCACAGTCAGCACACATCAAAACATAAATTTAAAAAAAATTGTTAAAACACAAACATTTACTATAAGACAGTTTTATCCTGGGAATGCCATTTGTTGAAAAACTACATTAGGGGGAAAAAAAGTCCTAGTAAAATTATTCTTGTCAATCTCCTGTCAAGAACTTCTGAACGTATCTGTGCAGTATAACTTGTGCATCTGGAAAACACAAGAATTTCTATATAGTGTGAATATTCCATCACTCCATCTTTATTATGGAGTTGTTCAAATGTTTTCATGTACATAAACAGAATTTTCTTTTGCAGTATGCACCAAAATAATAATCAGCACAGATTTTTCTTTTAAAGAGCAACATCATGCAGATGATGCTAATCAAATAAGCCAGTGAAGTGCCAGTAAGCTTGTGGGTTTTTTGTATCTGTATATACAGTAAATTTCCACAAAATACTATTGCATTTATTTCAGATTTACAGAACTAAATATAAACTGCTAGATTTTTGCTAATTATTAGCAGAAGCTGTAAGCAATCAGTGGCTAAATTCATAAACAAAAGATGAAAGAAGTAGCATTTTATTCCTGGAGTAATTCTTGAGATCTTAAATGGTTGGTCCTTAAGGAGATGAGAACTGTCCTTTATTCAGTAGATCTTAACAGTGCAATGTGCAACAATTCCTAAAACCGTCTAAAAAGTTTCATCAGTAGACTCCAGTAGAACTCCTTGATTCAAGGAAGGAAGGTTTGTATTTCTTGCCTGCTCTATTCACGAAGAATTGTAAAAAGTTCCCTTAATGTTTTTTTAAATTATTATTATTGATTCCTATAGTCGACTGTCTTGTTACTTCAGAAATAAAGGCTTCTTACTGAGACACTGAAGGACACTTTTCTCTCTGTGTTCAGTTGAAAGGTAGAAAAAAGAAGAAAGAGAACATAAGAAAAGCTTAAAGTGTAGAAGAGATACAAAATTCAGAGTAAAGTTACTAAAAGAACTTAACAGCATGCATCAGAGATTTAGTGAGAACAAGAAAGGGACAGAATGCCAAAGATAAACTTTACATAAAGGCAGTTTCCCTGCAATATAGAATAGTTTATAAAACTAACATTTTTTGCTTTATAAAACTATTCTTTTGAATTTATCTGTCCCTTTTTAAATAAGTGACTTCAATACTGTTTCATAAGCTCATTTTCTTGAAGCTTCCTCTTATAAAGTTTTTAAAAGACATCCTGGGAATCTTATATATAAAAATTATGTCCTTTTACAAGGGAAAAAAGTGTTAAAAGATTTCTCGTTCCCTGCCCAGACAGGCAAAAAAACCCTAACTACAGCCGTCTGTTCTGGCTTTACTAATAAGCAAGATAGAAAACCAGATAAGCAAGCAATATTTACGTCTGTTAATGCAATGTGCACTTATTCTTACACGTAATGCTGTTAGTTTGTTGTAAATGAAATTAATCTCATTTACAGTTTGGGCAGGAAACTCACCACTTGGCCCACATCTCATGTAGTGGGTAATAGCATTAGGAGCTTTGTTGCTCCCTAGACCTGCTTTTTGAATTTCTGCTTTCTGGTATAGCTTCCACATCTGCAGGAGAAAAGCATTTCATGTTATTCAATTTGTTTAGCAGGACAAGAAAAAGCCCTCACTTGACAATACGCAGTTACTTAATAGTAGGATATACCTGCTCAAAGGTATAAAAATACTTTTTTGAGGGACAGGGTTGTTGAGGGAGAGGGAAGGAAGGAATTCACTAGAATAATATACAGACATATATTAAAGGTAAACCTGTTATAAAAGTTCATATTTGCATTTTTAAAATAATCAAATATAAAATAATCAAATATTACTTTTCAAATCCACAAGAGGCTAAATTCAACTTTTAAATTTAATGACCTTAAATCTGTGCCATTATGAAAGGGCAAAACACCACTGAAATCAATGGAACTATGCCCACTTTCACCAGCAGAGAAATTGGCTCAACTTTTTGTTTGTTTAAACCTAACTGCCAGTAATACATATATAACTATTTACTAAAATGGCTAAATTCAAGTCTGTTAAGTGGAAAATAACCTTTGCATGCAACAGATATAACATGCACAATAAAGTATCTTAACTAAGTGTTCACTTAGAAAAGCAAAGCTTCAGGCAAACTTTTTGTTGCAAGCAAAAAATTATTCCTGTTCATGGCAGAACAATTAATTAACTGTCTAATGTCCATTTTTGGCTGATGACCAAATACTCTGAATTATCACGCAAAATTTGATTTTTAGTCTTGGATTTCCATTTCTAAGGCCAGCAGGGACCAGGAGTTGCAGAGACATGGATCAAGAAATGAGTGCAACGAATTGCTTTGTAGGAAGCCCACTGATTGATCTAGGAGCAACACTGATGGGATCTGAAGGGAATCCCACAAAGCCTCCACAACTGAAACAAGAATGAAAAGATTCAGCCATGATGTGTGAGTATTTGTAAGGGAGTACAGTACAGAGGTGAAACTCCCTATGCATGAGCACATCTGTTTTCTCCCGCCCCCCCGCCCCCAAATATTAGAGCTGCTGAGCAGCAGTTGAACATGATTGATTTTTCAAGGCCATTAAAATATTCCCTAATAATGGGTCTGCTCCCACTCCCATTGAAATTGATGGGGCAGGATCAGGCCCAACAGAAAACCAGGAACACAGGGTTACTTTTAAAATTCCTACGATCAATAGCACATCAGAAATTTGAAAAACAAGGGGAAATAGTTATAGTGGCCCAAGCTGAAAAAGGTCATTCCAAAACCCCAATGTGAAGATATGAAATTTAAAAGGGCTGATTTTCATTTATACAAAGCCTCTTAATTTCACTCCGGTAGTGTAAGGTGCTGGTAGTGAAAATGAATATAAAAGAAAAATTGCATCCACATAAAGGCCCCTTTCTTTTGCCAGAGTTATCATTTTATTAGTTATCAAATTTAACTGGCAAGTGTGGCTCCTCACGACAGACCATCAAACATATTACCTACTGCCCAATTTATAAATATGAAGGAGGCATTACTGCAATAAATACTGCTACTCCTGATGTAGCCATTTGGCTTGATCAACTTCAGGTGAAATTGTAGTTGCTGCTCTACACCAGAGCCATATAGAAGAAGAAGATTGGTGTGTGAGAATTTAGTGTTTGTGAAAGGAACGAAAATGATTCAGAGATGGAAGTACACATTGGCTGGAAAAGTTTCCTTTACTTTCTCAATATCAATCTATAAGGATCACATCTAGGGTTGAAAGGGTAGGTTGAAATTCTGTTTCCCTTCAATCGTTGGCCTCACTGCTGAGCGCCAACATAGGTCGAAATGGTGCTGTTGGTTTATTCTTAATAGCTTATAATGAGGTACATGGAGTTTATCAGTTTTTCCAATAAATGGGTTTGCTGTCAGTTACCCAACCCGCCAAAAAGTACCGATGCTTGTAGTGTGCTTTCTGAGTTCCTGTAGGATACTTCAAGATTTTATAGATTTCCTATATAATTCCATAGATAACGTTTAAAATTTATTGTGCATATTTCTGTTCAACTGGCAGCACCATATATGTTAAAAATGAGTTAAACAAATATGGAACAAGAAGAAGTGAAGCAGAATGAAATGACGCAAGACTGACGTACTCTGTGTGTGTGTGAGAATAAGAAGAATTATGTTGAGAGCATTTCTTTTATTGTATTTAGGCTAGGAGATACAGCAATGACCTAATTAAGAAGCACAAGGCTGGACATAACCAAAGGATAAGTGAGAGATTTATCAGCCCATAAACTGTGTAGGTGTGCAAACATGGTAAAGGAAGGCTATTTTATGTTTTGGAAGAAGCATAATTTGTTCCTTCGTGGAGTCTCTCTAAGACACTTTATGTTCTCCACTTGCTTCCTTCTCACACCTTCAAAAGCAGTTCATCTTGCAGAGGAGACCTGGCAATGGATTCTCCAAAGTTCATCAATGATGCTCCTGTATCAGCTGAAGATATTTCTAGTGTGACACAATGGAATTACTGCTTCCTTCATGAAGAGTTAAGTGAACTATTCTTGCAGCACTTCTAGTCCTTGCTGACCTGGGACCAAAGGTATCAAATTTGGGTCCCCATGTGGCAGCGCTGTGCACTGCCACACGATTTCTGGCCAAAGAAGCGCAATTGTAAAAGTTAGTCATTATTTTCAACAAGATATTTCATATTCTATCTTCTCTCATGCAGGATTTTATATAGCACAGCTACTTTTGATTTCTCAAACGTAAATATTTAATTGTGTTTCAATTTGTTAAAAAAATGCTCATGTCTACTTAAGGGTCTAGCGCTACAAACACATGCAATTTATAGCTGAAGTATGGTATAATTTTAAAGTTTGGTTTAAATCTTTTTAAGTTTAAATTGTTACCAGACTTAAAGTGCGATTTCAAGCAGTTGCAGAGATGCTAGAATTTTAAATAGCTTTTTTCAACATTTTCTGTTTAGCTAAATTATTCCATAAAGAATTGCTAAATTGACAATTTATAATCAAATTTAAATTATATTTCAGCTGCATTCATATTTAATATAGTCTTATCAAATCTCATGCCTCATTTTCTAACTAAGCAATGTTCTATCTGCATAGGAAATAAAAATTTCCACCATAATTAGTAAAGATTTTATTATTATTATTATTATTATTATACATTGTAAAAATTCTCATAAAACTATAGTGTTACTTGACTCCAAATAAAACAGCACATTGGACCACCTCTGTATGTCAGACATGGGAAGACAAACCACAGGAAAGGGAAAAAGAGGTAGAGGAGGATCATTTTTTCTATGCAGCTGCTACACTTAATTTGATTGTTATATTTTAAAAAATTACCATTTATGAATATTAACAATTGTTTTATTGATTAAAGTTCAAATATTTTAATAAATATGAACTACAGTTCATATTTATTGTGCAGCAAATTACAGGCACTGAATTATTTGGGCTACAACTTATTCCTTGAGCAAAATGACACACAAAACATAGCATAAATAAAAAGCAAAAGATACTGAAATCTCTCTAATAGGTTGTTTTTTTTGTTTTTGCTAGTATTGTATACGTGCAAGAGGAAAAAAATAGGCATTTCTGTATGGGTGATGCATCTGAAAACAAAAGTACAAGTAAGAAAAGTACCTTCCTGTTGGTAAAAATTACCTGGTTCTTTGTGCCATTTTTGGCAATGCAGCATGCAACTGCTTTAACATGCATTCAATAATGTAGAAAAACAAAATATTTCTAACATGTGACAAACAAAAATACAGAACATTAGTTTGTATTATTAAGGCTTTTAGAGGCATGCAGAAAATATACAGTGCAATTAATGTTTCATGCAAGCTTTGGTGTGATTACAATTTTACATGTATATGCATGGTGTAATACACAGCTGATTTTTAGATCACCATTCAGAGGAAAACATCCCCCTCCCCCATAAACCTGCCAAGAAACTATTTTTTATTTGTAGTGGAACATTCCCTAAATCAGTGGACATTGAGAAGAACATCTGTCATTTGTATTTAATATGACAACTCTCTTATCATACACAACCATACTCATACCAAACAGTTTGGTTATCTTCAGAAACCAGTAAAGGGGATTCAATCTTGCTAGTATTTACACATGCAGAAGAAGCAGTACATTCACTATTTAGAACTGACTGTGGGTTACTGTTATCAGACTTATGGTCATCTGAAGACTGATTAGTTACCTTTGCTGTAGACCTTTGAGGTAATCCACTTATATTACTAACTAATTCAGTGTTAAGGGATAAAAATGTCTGTGACACATGAGCCACAGTAAATGTCCCTGTGCTATCAATAGTTGATATACCAACTTCACCACCGAACACATTAGTGCTTGAAGTTTTGTCAACATTTGACTTTCCCATCCTTGAATTCCTAGGCTTCTCAGATTTATACCCTGAGTGATCTGGTTTAACTATATTATCTAAATCATTTTGTGGAACAGAATCTACATTATAAGATGTATAATGAAAAAAATTAGAGGACTGCTGGTGTGCACAGTACTCACTAGATGCTGATGGAATGCTTCTATCAGCTGTAGATGGTGCTGGATCAATTGATACAGGCTGCCTACTGTCCTTAGATAAAAAATCATGAATGCTTGTCCTTCGAGTAGTTCCTTCTGCTGTAGAAATCACACTGCTTGCACGAGGTAAGGTAGCATAAGGGCTGCAATCTTTTGATTGTCGTTGTGATGGATCTGTTTGTACTTTTTCTTTGATTGACTTGACCTTTCCTTGAGTACCTGACATCAATTTTATTGGAGAGCTGGTAAAGTAGGTATCTTCAGTTTTACGAGGGCTGGGCCTTACAAGCTGTTCAGGTTTACCTGACCTTCCATCTGAGAAGTCAACTGTGTTTTTCACACTTAATGACCTGACGATACCACTGCTGACAGACGACTGTTTCCTTAGCTTTTCTTTTCCTGCCAACTCAGCAGACTCAGACAAACTTTTCATTACTTCATCTAAAAGATTCTCTTGGCTTGCACACTTTATCTGTCAAAACATATCCAAACAGCTTATTGTGTAGTTCTGATTTAATTTTTAAATTTACAAGATATTTTAGTCATCTTTATTGCATGAAAGTGAAAAACAATTAGATTTTATTTAAATACTACATTTATTTGAATCGCTTAAGACTATTCATTAGTGGCAAACCTGCAAGTGATGATTTTACCTCTTAAATTTGAATTGTATACAACTTTGAGCTATCTTATAGATTGGCTATAAGGAAACATTACTACCTTGGAAACTAGACATCTGTGAAAGGCTGCAACTATCTGGAGTTCATGAGATATTACTTCTCCTCTGATATCAAGTAGCTCAACCAATCAACTAATTAGAACCTCACACTCACATCTTCTCTCCTGCCTTCCTTTTCACTAACTAATTGATAATTTCCTTAACAATTTGAACAATATGTACCAGTGTTTTGAACCTAAGACTAGTGTGTGGGGTTCTGGATTTCTGAACCAGGTTCAAGTGGCTGGAAGAAATCCAATATGCAAAGTTGGAAGAAAGTTTCCTTTTCTGTTCAACCAGCTCCATCCATCTGGAACTCATAGGCTATGTCTAGTAGTACTCAAAATCTTGACCAGGAGGAATTTTAAATTAAATCATGACCTCATTTTCTCATGGAAAAAGTAAAGAGGTGGCTTGGTAATAGCTCTTAAGCATCAGGGATTTCACCAGTTCAATGATCGCTAGGACCCAGTGGTCTGAAGCAATGCTTGCAATTCTTGAAATCATAAAGGACAAAAAGTCCTCAAAGGATGGAGTAAAGGGGGAAGAAAGACAAGGATTTGGATACTCCAAGACTAGGTCAGTGTTCTCTGGAGCATCCTCAAATTCACTGACTAAATATGGCCCCCACCAGCAGGTCAGTCTACAAAGGTCTAGAAGGAAGAGTGTTGTCTTCTGTGGCAGGACCAGAATGACGGCCATATCTCCATTGATTTATTTCCTGACACCACCTCGCACAGTTACCTAGAACTTTGGATTGAAGAACCCCGGGAAACAATATCAGGAGTTACAGACATTCATCCCACCAAAACTAGAAAGAGCCTAGCATCAATTGGAGATGTTGAAACAGGCAAGACCGCCTCCTTAGATGATGAGTTAGAGGGGGGGAAACCTCTGAAGACAATCCCAACACTTTCTCCATCTTCATGAGGAGGGCTGTGACAGCAGTTCTCAGTGAAGAAAATTAGCAGGCAGTAAGAGGAAAGGAAACCACTTTGGGGCAAATGACTGCCCTCCCGCCACTACTGATGAGTATGTTCAGCTGCAGCACTTAGGACAGGAGCCCTCAACTTTTCTTTCCTAATGTGGTCATGAGGGAAGCAGCAACCACTTACAAATTGTTACACTTTGTATTTATTTCTTTTAAAATTATATCAGGAGTGCCCCAGTCTCCTTTTACTGGGGATGCACAACCAGAGTTAAGTACACTTCCTGCCATCTAACCAGCTCTACTAATCCCAGGTGGGCAGCAGCTGTTTTTCCCCACTGCACACTGAACCAGAATGCCACTTCGCTCCTACTTAGCATACCATCTCATATTACATTCTGTAGCCATCACCCTCCTTTTTCTATTTTCCTTAACAAAAACTAAATTTTGGACCTGAAAATGAAGGGCTTTTCTATAGGAACATTTAGTTTGCAGCAAGCTGTGGTTTAAATCTACCCCACACTAGCTTGCCACAGACTGTCTGTATCGACACTCATCAGTTCACTAATGCACTTCGATATAGTCCTGATTAAAAAAAGACTATATCAAAGTGTATAAACAAACTATTAATGCATGTCAGCAGGGTTCACATGGACAGACACAGGCTAGTGCAGGATATAGTCACACATCCAGCTTGCCATGAACTAATTGTTTATGTAGACAAACTATTATTTGACAGTGTCTTTTTAAAAGAATTTTAAGGGGGTCCTGCAATGGCATACACTATAAGTAACATATTAAATCTGTGCATAAATATAGGGTATTGTATAGCCCTAAAATTAAAATAATTTTTTTTAACTAACCTCTGTAGAAGTAATCTTGTTGCTTTCTTCTAAAAACTGCTGCAGAGTAACAACCTCACTTCCAGGAGAACCAGTTTTGATCTTCTGCTTTCCTTGATTATCTATTGTTTCAGGCATTTTTTCCTGGATCATGAGATTCGACTTGGTGTGACTTTTCAAATACTGGATGGGGCTGCTGCTGGTGCTAGACCAAGCCTCATGTTCATGAAGCAGACTAAATTCTCCACTGCTGTGACTCTGTGGCCTACTTTGGTTGTTAACTCCACCTGCTTTTGGGGAAAACAGTATTAAATGTTCTATAATAAAAATTACATGAAAATAATTGAACAGCACATTCTGAACAATATCTGAAGGATTATTAGATGTCATTTAATCAGGGCTGGCTCTAGGCATCAGCAAACCAAGCATGTGCTTGAGGCGGCACAATTTTTTTTTTTTTTTTTTTTCACTTTGGTAGTTGTGCTCCCGGAGGACAATTTTTTTTGCTTGGGGCGGCCAAATGCCGGCCCTGCATTTAATAATGCCTGTTTTATATAATTTTTTTAAAAATGTTGAAGACTCTAATTGTCCTATATTACTCAGATCAAATATCCTATTCTGAAACCATGTTATAAAATGCAATTTCATTCCCTTGGCTTATCTGTTACAACTTTTCAACCTGATTTTTTCAATGGAAAAAAAGCACCCTTCACTTGAAATTTGATTCTAAGAGGTTAAATGTATACAGAAGACTTTATGATTCAGTTCATGTTCAGCAACTCT